ATATATATATATACACACACCTTGATAATTCTGTCATGTTTGTTTTTATTACTTGTATAGTTGCAACACTTTCTTTTTCTACGTTGAACACGAAAATGTAGAATCCCGAAGTTTGTTCCTACTTATAAATTCATCCATTGCAGCTTCCATATCCAGAATTTTTACAACATCCGAATGAATATGCAGAACAGCTGTACTATTTAACAAAATAGGAAGCATTGTCGAACGTACATAGGTTTTTATTCTCCTAATACCTGTTTCCACCAATGCAGATTAACTTTAATCTCGGTTTAACTTACTGTTCATCTTTTTCTAATTTTTAGAATTAGAAAAAGATGAAAAGCAAATTAAACTGAATTAAAGTTAATCTGCATTGAAATGGACATAAGAGCTAAAAAAGATCTTTTCGCAGTACAAGATGTTGCCGAAATTATAAGCAAGAGTTCTATCATTTTTGTGTATTCTGATACAATTCTCTCACAGCTATATTTTCTTTTAAAAAGTTATCCTTTTTTTAGGCATGTAAAGACATTTCCACTAGTAAAATACCGATCGAGGGCCGTGAAAACGGCAACCGCCAATCGAGTTGTAAACATACGACTTTTCATATTTAGTTTAATCAACTTTTATTTTTAATAAGCCATATTAAATATTTATACTAAATAATATAATTAATTATTTTATCAAGAAATAATTTTTATATTCTTTGGATTTCTAAGTGTGAAATTCCATACACGAAAAAATTTTGAGTGTGGAGTACTCCACATTAACCACACTATAGTCGACGCCCATGCAAAAGATACTCCGTCTTTTAGCAGCGAGTTGAGCGGTTCTAACAACGAAGATTTGTTTGGGATGAACTTGCTAATATAATTCACTATGCCTAAAAATTGTAGCAACGCTTCCTTATTTTTAGGAACCGGAAAGTTCACTATCGCGTTTACACGCTCGGGCAAGATGCTAATTCCGTATTCTGAAATTTTATGTCCCAGAAAGTCTATTTCTTGTACACCGATAATACATTTATCTTTGTTGACCGTTATCCCGGCGCTTTCTAGTCTACCGAGCACTGTTCTCAGTGTTTTATCATGTTCCTCGACGTTTCGGCCGCATATTAAAATGTCATCAACGACAACGACGACGTTTGCTACATTGCCTAGTGCTTCTGTGAACTCTTTCGCAAAATAATCTGATGCGCAGTTTACGCCATATGGCAAGCGTGTGTGCATATACCTTCCGAACGGGGTTATGAACGTCGTCAGTTTCTGACTTTCTTTATCTAACCTCAATTGGTGATAGCCTGTCTTAGCATCGAGTTTAGAAAATATTTTCGATCCTTTTAACTTTGCGAGCGCGACATCTATCTTCGGTATCGGATGTACCGCACGCCTGACGCTTTTATTAAGAACCGTGTAGTCGCCGCATATGCGTATTTCCTTGCCGTTTAGTTTCGGAACTACTACTATTGGACTGCACCATTCTGTCGGGAAATCGACTGGGACGATTACGCCCTTATTCTGTAGTGCGTCTAACTCTTTCTTTAATTCTGGTAGTAAAGGTAACGCGACTGACCGCGGGACGCTTAACGCGAAGGGTTTGGTCCCCTCTCTCATGTGAATAGTTAACTCTTTGCTAAATAAACCTAGGCCCCTGAAAACTTTTGGAAACTCTTTTTCCACGCTTACTTTAGATTTTATGGGCTTGGTGTTAGCATTTCTTATTCCATAAACTAAATTAAATCCCCTTATTTCCGGCTTCCCAAGCAAATTTTGCTTTAACCCGCGCAAGACGTAAATTTTGCCTTCTAATTTCGCGTCGTCTTTAATTAAATTCACGTTACAATAGCCGATAACTGATAATCTTTTCCCGTCAGGCCCGAAAACTACTTTATCGGTCGGTAAAATTTTACGCTTAAAATCTTTCAATATCGACTCGCTCGAAATGCAAGTTATGTCAGCACCCGTGTCTATGAGAAATTCTTCCTCTTTCGCGAGCTCAAGAATCTTTACGCGAACTACAAAATCTTTATCTACATGCGATGTCCGACGCCCTATTGCTCTCAAGAACGCCATCTCGCTGGCTTCGTTTGTGACGTTGCCATCTTCTTCTGCTAGGCGCTTTATGTTGCGCGTTCTGCAAACTCTGTCCCAATGGCCTATCTTCTTACAGCTGCGGCATGTCGATCGAAGCGCTGGGCATCTCGCGCTTTCCGTATGTTGATCCAGTCCGCATCTCTGGCACGAGGCTCCTTTGTTGATATTCTTTTTTCCTTCTGTGACGCCATGTTTCTTGTTATTCTTCGCGGGCCATCTCGCCCGTCCTTGCGAGATCTTGTTTACTTCTCCGCATTCGCCGCCATTATTCTGACGCAGCAGCTTCCCGTGCTTAGCCTGTGTTTCTGCCTGACGAGCCATTATCACGGCCTTCTCCAATGTAAGATCGGCGATTAATTGTAATCGTTCCGATGTTTTTGAGTCTCTCACCCCGATGACCAACCGGTCTCCAATGAGGTCCTCCTTCAATAAGCTATTGAACTCGCACTTTTCGGCGAGTGTGTGTAGCGCTGTGACGAAGGATTCTACACTCTCGTCCTGCTGTTGAACTCTTGAATTGAATTTAAATCTCTCAAAGATTAGATTCTTCTTTGGCGCGAAGTGATCTTTGAGTTTGCCCTTCACTGTATCAAACGTCGTCCCTGCGTCCATTTGCGGTAGGATCCGATTAAGAATTTCATCGGCTTTCTCGCCCATCGTGTAGCACAATAGGTCGATTTTTTCTTTATCGCTTCTGCTCGAGAGGTTGCTACAGAGATGTACCTCTCGAACCGTTTCACCCACATCGGCCACGTGTCCGGCTTCATGAAGTCGAACTCGATTGGTGCACGGATCGCGGAACCCGATGGCGGTAGCGCCTGGCTCTCTCGGCTCATTTTCCTGCGCTCACACACTATTTCTACAGACTCCTCCAGTTTTAGATACGCGACGTTTCTTTCTCGTCGCGATACAGCACAGCTCGCGGTTAGATTCCGTCGCGTCGGATGCGATTCCTCTTAACCTTAACTGTAGTCACGCACTTCTGACACCATGTTGTGGTGGTCATACACCAGATAGGAAACGGGCACGGATAAAGGATTACTCCGAGCTAGTGATCACGGCGGGCGTTGCGAGAGCGTCGGTCTGATACGTGTGTCTACAGCGTACTGTCTTGTCTTACTGTTCGTCCGTCTGTCTGCATCTACAGGTGGCGCCTAAGCGCTACGTTTTGTATCTCACTCGCACAACATGGACTTAGAGCGATTTTTGTTTCCGATATTGTATACACCTCGTGCAATTTCGATCTGATGCACGATTGTCTGCGCGTCATTTCAATAGCGTCGTTTAAGCATCGCGTGAAATCATCATACGTTATGGATCTTGCCACAACGTTACTTTTGACACTCTTTGCCTTCTTCGTATCCTTCTTTCCTTGCACACGTAAAGCGTACATTTTCGCTCTAAGCCCGACGAATTCAGTCATGATGGCACCGTTGTTCTCGTCTTTCATAAGACCTGGAACTTTTTTATTTGCGAGCGGAATACTGTATGGGTTGTCAATAGAATAATCGCTAGTGTCAAATCTATTTATGTCGCGTTTTATAATTTCATATACATCGTCACATTCTACATGGTATATGAGACTATCAGTATCGGTATATATAATTTTACATTTTTCGCGAAATAACGGTGCCATAAATTCGTGGTGAAATTCATACAAACACGTTTTCGATATATCGAGGATGCACATACCCACGTATATCGGTTTATCAAACTTCACCTCGAGCTTACGCAGTTCTATCGCGACCAGATTCTCCGAGAAAACGCTACGACTGTAAAAGTTGGGTTTCGCGATCATTGCTTCAGCACCGTATCTACCTTCCCATTTGGTTAATAATTTTACATCAACGCGATCGCGTACATTCTCCATGGTTTTACCAAATACCGCGTTATTCATAAGTTTATATAAATTTTTCTCAAAATCGTTTTTTGCCAATGTTCTAAATTTTGTGTTTAATTCAATGTAATCACGAAGCCATGGAGATTGCGTGAATTGCAATATACGGTGAACCTTTACGATACGGAGGCCGTGACGAGTACACTGCTGCAGGTTGCGATAATGAAACACGTAACGCTGTTTGTCGCATAACGTCGCGAGGAGCTTTTCATCGCGCTTGCCGGGCGGTTCCTCTCGCGTTGGACGGAACGGTAGCCCGTCAGTGTGCCCGTCGTGGAGATGTTGCGGATATTCCAACTCTACCTCGAGAATATAGCCCGTAGGTGAATCTAGCGCGATAGTCGAAAAGTCGGAATTTTGCACGTCGTCGACCCATCGAAAGTCGGCGTTTGGCAATGGTTGACAAATTGCCCAGCCATAGAGGTTGTTGACATCGTAATACATTAAATATGATGACTGTTTTGATGGGCCGTACGACGGTATGTATTTGTTGGCTCGCGCGTACCTGTTTGAGCACTGGCTCAGACCATCGCGTATACCGCGCTCGACAAACATGACCATGTCAATGTCTGTAAGCAATTCAAATTTTACACCTGTATGCTTCAACATGGCATCCCATGTGAAGCCAGGCAAGGTGTAATAGTATGCGGGGTCGAGCCCGTACCTCGCGACGCAACTGTCGCAGAAATTTTCAAAGACGTCGGCCAACAACAATACATCCGTTTTTAGATACAGGTCGCTATATTCACCGAGCGTTTGGATGAAGAACCGCTGCCATAGATTGACAGTGTGCGCGTAATCGCTCTCGGATACCGTGCCTTCTGTCAATGAACTATAGAATAACTTGCGAGGCGGCAAGGATGATTCATTCAATTTTTCACTGCAATCAATGTACTCGTACGGAAAGATTCCTTTTCGAGTTAAAAGATTAAAATTTTCTTCCGATAAATGCACTGAGAGACTCATTTAATTGAATAAAACAAAATGTTTTGATTGAACTATTTTGTTTGACTGAATTTGTAATTTGTTTATATGAGTAAAAAATTATGTTATCGTAAATAAGTTAAATGTTAGAGTAACTAAATTTTTTATTTGTCTGGGTTTATTTGCTTCAATCAAATTTTATAGTATAATAGCATTAAAAACCGCATTCATCTTATGGTATTTCAAATAACTGTATTTGTTGCTCGAGCCAAATCGTATAGTTGGAAGTTACAAACTGAGCTACTACTGTGGCGCCGGCGCCACAGCACTT